AGGCCCTCAGTGTTAATCCAACATGAGATGAGTCTGAGGTCTTGAGGTGTGAACGCCGATAAAAGATCCCTGGAACTGTCCTGATATGAGTGGTAGACAGTTCTCTATAGGTATCCTTCGCTGAGATGACGTGAACGTACCCGTCCACATTCAGCAGTGAGACCCCCGCGGTTGGCTGGCAGCTTTCATTTGGTGACCTTGGCAGCTTCGCCGCAACCGTCAGCCGGGGGGCCACCAGGGCCATTCGGCTGTAAAAGCCCAAATTTTTAGGAGGTCAAGGGTTTACTCAAGTCAGTGAGGATAAAAAGTAATTGCTGACAGGCCATCTTCTCAACCATAAACAGGTCTTCTAGTGTAGCATCTACATTTCTTCCTTGACCTGCATGACCACGGTTAAAAAAAAAAGAGAGAAAAAAAAGGGACGATATCAGTGGATGTGTGTCGCAGAATCAAGTAAAATCCAGTGATATTATGTTCATGTGGTGTAAAAGCCTGTTGCTATTAACTAATGTTGACACAGAAGCCCAAACACCTAATGGGCTCCAATCAGGCATAATGTGGACGTGTTACGGTGCAGATGGAATTTAAAAGGAGGAACTGTTTAGTGAACTAACCTATTTATTATGCAAAGAGCCAGTGAAAAGTAACTGACATTTTAGAAATTTTCTTCTATTTCATGGTGGAGGATTAAAATCTCTCATGTTATTGATGATGATTAAACAAAAGGCCACTTGACAAGTCATTACTCAGCTGCCTCAGCCTACATGTGCTCTTATGAAGAATGTGTTGCTTGTTTGCAGTTTGATCTGGATTCTAATGAGCTCCTCAAAATCAATTTTTACCTCTTTGCGGCCAATACCTGGAAGCAATGGAAACAGTAAGGCCCAGACGTTCTTAGAAAATGCCCTCCAGCAGCTACATCGCAGTTTTCTGTGTAGAAACAGAAGATTAGAAGTTATTTTAAAACAGTTATGTTGCTTATGCATCGGAGCCACGTTTTTGCCAACAGCTGGTTCTACTGAATGCATGAAGCATTTTCTAAGTCCTGTTCTCACACTCATAAATCAGAACAACAGCCAGGTGACTCCTGGATGCCTGAATGTGATGAGACCTGGTTGTCTTTGAACTTGGTTATGTCAACACTTCCTGACTGCAGGATGGAGAGCCGTCCTCCACGTCAGGCGTGGAGAGTTTGCAATGCACTTGTGCAAGCGGACAACTTCATTCTATGTATTCAGAAGCCGGGAGATGCGGTTTTTTGTAGGGGGGTGATACTATGAAAAATCAGCAACTGGTTCCAACTTACTCAGCATTAGTGGATTTTTTAAAATAAAAAACTACAATGTATTCAAAGAAGCCATGCAAAGTTTCCCCTTTATGCTATGAATATTTTCTGAGTTACAGGTTCTTACATATTTTAAATTGTGTTAAATGTCCAGCTTTTTAAGCCCTCATAGCTAAGTACAGGAGATAGATTTTCTTTTTCAGGATTGAAAAGCATATTTAAAAAAATGCTAAAAATCTACAACCAAAATATTTTTACATCCACTCCAGGTGTCACAATTTAAAGCTTGTTTTCATTCTGCATGACTTTTTGAATTCTTTTGAGCATCAATAGCATGAAGCATGTCATAGTTTTAATAGCAGAACTGCACCAATGAATCAAGTAAGTAGCATTAGTAGAATTTTAACACTTGTGAATGCAGCTTATGGCGAAGAAACAGAAAAACAATGCCAATGTTTACATGTTTTGTACAACAGCTTTGACAAATCACTTTAATCAAACATATTTGGAGCATTCAGTGCTTGTTTGGGGGTCTTTTAAATTCTGCTCCGATATTGTTTAGTTCTTTTCATCATTAGCTCGTCACGATGCTTGTTATTACATTCCCAGACTGACTATATGGCGCTAGTTAAGCTTTACATGATGTCCAGTTACACCATTTTTGTAACATCCTGATCAACAACTTCATTCCACAAGCTGATATTCCAACTGCTGATCCAGATATGCACACAATTCTTTATTTTATGGCTTTTAGTTATTGGATCCTGGAGAGGCGATGTCTCATCTTGCCTGTACTACTGTTGTATGTACAGCAAAATGACAATAAACTTGATTTGACTGTACATGCTGCTCATGACAGCAGCTTAAAGTGGAAGTTAATCTTGCAAACCCCACTCCTATATAAACATTATCACGTTTGTAGTCCACTTAGAATCAAAAACTCTACATTTCGTCAGAGTCAAAATATGCTTATGTTAGAAAAATATTTTGATGCAGAAGGAATCACGGCTAGGACATGAGCCTGGTATCAAGATGTAGGTAGAAATGCAAACCGTCGTACTCTATGAACACAACACATCCAAGGTGGTTATGCTTATATTTATCACTCTGGGTCATAGACATTAAACTGGTGCAGTTTTGCTACTGAAATGATATATCTATTAATTTTGATGCTCAAAGTTGGTTATAGAAAAAAAAAGACGAGATTCTGTCTTTACATTGTGACATTTGGAGTTGATGTAAAATCGATTTCGTTGCAGTTTTTAACAGAACTCAAATGTGCTTTTAATTCCTGCAAAATGCACGTGTCTCACCGGTACTTATGAAGGTGTGAGGACTTAAAACTTCTGGAAAAAACAACACAAATTAAGGAGAAGTTTCAAAGTTTCAACATGCTCCTATCTACGTCAAGGGCCTGTAACTCTGAAAATATTCACAGTATGAAGGTTGAATTTTACATGGCTTTCATAAAAATACTAAAGCTGTTGTAAATAAAAAAAATCTCTTGATTCAAAGGGAGATGTTGTTGTATTTTGTATGGAATGACAGGTGGATGTTAATGCACCAAATATCCTCACCATTAAGGGGAAAAGCCATCAGAAATCATGAACAGAACAGTTCACAATCACTCTAGTTCGGCACTGAGGAAGGTAACTCTCATTCTAGTCAGGCAGACCTTTGATCTCTATTGCTATCAGATACCACAGCTGCACCATTAACTGTACTTGTCCAAAGCTTGTGCATTTTCATTTTTTGTTCAAGTTGTCAAAAAGGTGGCTTTATGTTTATTATTGAGGTCGTAGTGTGCAGCGGTGGTGGCACGTTGGCCTGTAATACATTTAAAAGTGTTCTTAAAATCTTAATATACATAAAGAAGACAAACATTAGAAGTCTGTTGAGGTCTCACATGCCGCAGAAACCGTCCACTAACCAGCCAGCAGACGACACACTAGCCTGCCTGCAGCTGTCTCTGAAGACTCTCAGCCGGTCGCATGTGATAACAATAAGGCGTGCTGCATGGCACCCATGTAAATGAACCTCAACCTTAACATGTCATCCCCTCTCACTTTAGGAGAACGTATACTGTGGAATGAGCCCGAGGCGTTACTGCTGGAATGCGAACGCTGGTTGGGTGCTTGTGTTGCTGGGTAGGGTTTCTATGATTGATGATTTGACTATGTTTAACAGATAAAGGAAGGAACAGAAGTGCAGATAAGGGGAAGCTCGGATTGGTTTATTGGATTTTCAGTGCGAAGAAACCAGAGAAAATGTATGTTACTTGTTAAAGTGGATGCACTGCTATGACAGAATAACCAAACTTTTAAAGCCAATTATCACTAAATAATATTAGATTAGCATCAGGTTATGAAGATTGTAGTCCTGTACTTATCAAAGGCACAGTTTGCTGCCTTAGATCGCTCTAACTGGGCTACGAGAAAGTGCTGACTAAGATAAAGGTTGTGCTGGAACGCTTAAATTATCTTCCTTGATGTAACTTCAAATCTAAAGTGGCTAGAGTGGAAAAAACAACAACAACAAGAAAAACTTCACTGCAGTGCCAACGCTAAAAAACTGGCAGTCTAGACGGGTACTGTAAGTGAAGGAGGAGTAGCCACAATGTCATTGTATAATCTTCCCACACAGACTCCTGAAATAGTGTATTCATCATATACAGGAAATATTTCCAGGTCTTACAAAACAGAACAAATAAGCTGCTCTCCAGTACAGTTAAACTAACTGAGTCACTGGAGGAGCAACCGTGACTCTAAATGCCAAACATGATCTTTAAAGGTTGAGTTGTCACATGCTCTTTAGAGCTGTTTAAAAAAAAAGCGCTGCAGGTGACACAAAAACCCAGTTAAGGTGGAAAGTGATCCAGAGGCCATAAAGGGGAGCTCAGGAAGAAGACGCCAGCCCCTATAAAGTCAACAGCTGTCCTGCTTTGCTTGATGGCATTTTTGACAGAGGATATGTGATGAAGGAGTGTTGAGGGGGGAGCCGTTCACGGTCGAGTCAAAATTTGCTCACATGGCCTCATGTTCCAACAACTTAATGTATGTTGGCATGCATGAAAAAGAGGCTCGTAATAGTTACACCTATAAACATATACGTATATAACCCATAACTGGTAATTAACAGTACCTTGCACTTCTGCTTTTATTTTATATGCTTTGATGCCTGTGGGTGCGTCTCTATTTCTACTATGTTAAATGTCATGTAAGCTATTTCAAAGCTTCTGTCATGTTTAATCACAGTAAACACCACCATATAGTGTAGTCCTATGACGTGTAGGCTCTAGGTAAGAAATGCAGGCAAAGCTAGCCACATACGTGCATGGTGCAATTTTTTTCTTTGCTCGGATATCCTGCATGTAGATTTTAACCTGCAAACTTGAGCCATAATCTCAAAGATACAGTGACTCTGAAAAATGCTATCAAATCAAATTACACATGAGCAGCCCCTCACATTTCATATTCTTTTAAAGGTCCTACATGGTGAAAATTCATTCTTTGTGGGTTTTGTGAGTGGTAGAAACTTGGACATGTAAAGTAAAAGCTGTCAAGATACGAAGACATTTACGTCTGCCATTCCTGAAGCCCCCCTCCCCCCCAAACAGAGGAACCAATAGAACCTCAAACTTTGTATCATGCTACCCCTTTCTGCTGAGCTGTTCAAAATGAGTAGCCACCTCACAGTCCACTATGTGTATTTACTTTACTTACTTTCCACTGCTGCTTCTGTTGACCGTAAAATGTCTCAGTCACAACCAAAACACACCAGATGTTCTGCTTTTGGCTGCAAGAGTGAACACAACAGTCTTTTTGCACCTCCAGCATTCAAGGAATTGAAGATCCACAGGTCAGTTCTAACATCAACGCTGTCTAATAAAGTCACCATAAATGATTTAAAAACACTGACTATGGTGTGAATTCAATAATATTTCCACGTAAAATTATCCC